TGCACTGTGTAACAGGCTGCGCGCGGCTCCTCGATCGAGCACACGCGTGCCTCGCAGACAGCCCGCGCACAGCTCGAGCAGCACATTTCCATTTCCTTTAGATGACAAGCAGCAAACAGATGGCAAAGCGCTCAGCTATGCCACAGCATGACATGAAGTCACAGCGCTGCAGGAGGTGCGACAGTGCTGGGTGACAGCTGCTGGTGCTCCAGCACAGCCACACTCCGCTGGCTCCTGTTTATCTCAGTAATGTGGCAAAACTGGCCTGGCCCCTGCAACTACACCCTCCTCTGAATAGGGGGATGGACTCGCTGACCTCTCCAAGTTCTCTGCAGATGTGTTTCTCTGAACTTCCTTACTACGCAGCAGCATGGCTGTTTCACATCCCCTGACGGCCACTCATACATCACACACATCGCAAACCCTCTGTGATACAGAGACTGTGGAATAGCTTCCATCTACACCAAACTCCCTCAAAGCAATCTATCTTCCAGTGCTGCTTTATGTCTAACAACTTCTTGGCTCCCTAAACTGTATTTTGGAAGGTGGCGAGTATGGCAAGCCAACTGTTTAACATTTCTAAGCCAGGAAGAGAGAGAAGTTCGCCAAGCTGTATTATGGTGGGCGGCACATGAAAACTGAGCCTCGAGCTGGTGGTTTTTTTTGTCTTCCTTGGCGATAAGGTGAAGAAACAGAAGAAAGCAGGAGCCGCAGGTTGAAGTCAGTGGCAGTAATTGTACCAGCTGTTGCAGAAAATTAGCAAATAGTTAGTGGTAATGTTGTTTGGCACTCTTGTATTTCTCTAGCTCCATGAGGCCAGGTTCTTGCAACTCTCACTCAACTAAAAATGACAGCAACAAGTGGCATGGCTGCTTCCAGCCTTCCAGCACGGCTGCTGGAGGAGTGAAACAGCGTGGGACCTCCCCAGTGGGGGTCCTTTGGATGGGAAGCTCTGCTCTGGGTTTGGGTGGGAAGCATTCTGCACCTTGCTGGTGCCACGCAAACAGAACATTCACCTCCTTCCACATAGTAAGGACTGCTGTATCCTTCAGCAACAGCACATATTTTAGAAACACAAGAGGCATCCGAAGTGCAGGCCAGCTCCAAACCTCACTCATCACAAATTAATTTTGGGAGTGAACTTTCAAGTGCCCTCAGCTCTCAGTGAAATTTTCACTGTGTTGATTCCAGTTAAACAGTGGAAAAATTGTTAAGAATTTTTGGCACTGCATTTCAACCAATGAAAGTAGTCTAGGGCTTGGTATAAGCGTGGGTTCTTTCCTTGTAAATATAAACCAGTACAATTTTCTATTATCATGCGTGCGTGCTAACTGCACTGAACTTACGCTAAGAGTTTGCAGCACCATCTAAACATGATTCTGACCTACAGGCACAGAAGAGGAGGAGAAAAGATTCAGCAGTGTGGATGATGGAAAGAAGTAGGGTTGCACAACGTTACTCACCACCAGAGGAATGGAGCAGATGACCACCACCAGGGAAGTGGCAATGAGCAGAATAACCATCTGGATCTCTGCTCCGGCCATCCGACGGAAGCTCCGGCGTCTGCGAAAGTCAGATAAGCGGCTGGAGGTGGTGTCTGTCCCCAGCGATGTGCGCCGCATGAACTGACGGTGCATGCGAATGAGGGCCACGCAGACCAGGATGTTGCAGATCACCGTAACCATGATCAGGAAGGAGCTGAAGCCGGCGTACATGTATGAGTATGCTGCGTGAGTGGCATTCGTTGCTCGCCAGTCTATGAAACACCAGGTGTCAGGGTACTGCAAGGTTGATCTGCCGAGCCCCATGCTGGGGAGGGCACAGAACAGCACATTGGAAGCATAGATGGCGAAGAGTGTGAGCCCTGCCAGCTTCTTATCTACATAATGGCTGTAGAAATAAGCATGGTTGATGGCAAGGTACCTTTCTATAGACATGGCACAGATAATGCTGAGGCCAGAGAGTCCAAAGAAGAGGAGGATGAAGGAGCTGTATTCACACAGTGCCACTCCTCCTGGCCAGCGATTCTGCAGGTAAGTGGCAATAGTGACTGGACTCACCAGGCAGGTCCCCAGCAGGTCAGTGACTGCCAGCCCGCAGACCAGCGTGTAGAAGGTGGTCTCCTTCTGCTCCTTCCTGGACTTGCAGAGCACCACAATAGCGATGAGGTTGCCCACCACGCCGAAGATGAACATGACGGTGGGGATGGTGGCAGGCCTGCTGCCCTCAGCCGCGCTGGCAGTCCCATTGGCAGAGCCGTTGGCAGGTGGCATGGTAGTGGAGTAGTAGGACATGGTGCCCGCGTGCTACTGCGAGGTCGTGGGAGGCAAGAGGGATCAGGAAAGAGGGAGAAAGACCGGAACTAGGGAGAGGACAGCCTAGCCTGAAAATAAAATAATAATAATAATAATCGA